CTCTTTAGTCCTAGCGATCAATTGGGCATGATGAAGCACAGTTCATATGTTGTTTTTTTTTTATTTTGTGAGTCAGATACCTATCAGAGTTGAGTGGACTCTGGGACCTTGCACTGATCTGAACCCGAACTCAAACTCAAGACTTTCGGGTAGCAGTTTAGCGCTCTACTGATAGACCACACCGTCCTACAAGTCTCTGATAGATACAACATTTTTCTTTTCCTGAATGTGACGTTTATTGATGTATCTTGATTCATTTGTCAGCTTAATTTTATGAAACAGTAGACATTCTGCCTATCTGCGCAGAGGTTTTTTAAAAGAAATACTAAATACTAATACTAATACTAACCATTACTAAGGTTTACACTATTTTTAATTGTACAACCTTTTTAATATAAAATCAAAATTATAATCACTAACATAATTTTTTCAGATTCATTTTCTAACTGTCGCGATGCTGCTAAGTTTTTAGGCTCAAGAGCGTTAACATGAAAAGCAAATGCGACTTGGAATATAAATAATATTATAAACGCTTATGCGTTTTAAATTAAACGATCTGAAACCTGAATCGAACTGCATAAAATGTATTGACACTCTAATTAAATATTATCTCCGTCCGTTTTTTAAATGCAATTTAAATACATTTCTACGATTTATAAATAATGGTTAGTTAAACATGAATTGAAACAGGAACATTATTTTCTGGACTTAATTAATTAATGTCCAACGCGATACTTTAAATTATGGCTATGATTGATAGTAGCCTCTCTTATAAACGAGACCGAATAATGTCGACTGCAGTCATTTTTTAAGGCAATAGAGGTTTTCGTAATATATTCACTATACGACCACATACATTTCAATGGGGTGTTATCGACGACTTTTAAACTTAATGTATATGCTTCAATAAGAGGTAATCACTCGCGGTGAATTTCTGCACTCCGCGAGATGTTAAAGGCTACCACTAATCTTCCCATATGGCCAAGTGGATGACCAAGGTCCATACAAAAGATTAGCCAGAAGGTGTCACACATGATAAGTTGTACCTGCTGGTCGAAAACGTGGAGGTTGGCGAAATGTGTAATACCTCATTTGTCTCGTTCAGTTTTTAGAAGGCTTGGTTGTTAACGACAGTGTTTTAAAGATATATATATATATATATATATATATATATATATATATATATATATATATATATATATATATATATATATATATATATATATATATATATTGTAGATAGATAGATAGATATATATATATATATATCTTTATATATATCGAGTTCTATATAAATGGTTTAAATTTATTTCTATTCATCCACGGTAAAATACTTATCCAACCGTATTCTCAAAGAACAGTTTTAAGAGGTTTTTTTTCTCTTTTTTTTTATTGTGATCTTCTTCTAATGGGTCGTTAACATCTTTTGTCAAACTGACAACTGCGGCAATAAGTTACGAAAAGGAAAAGTATAGCTTTTATGATGACCTGTATATATATTGACAATTGTTATAACATTTATTGTAAAGTATGTAATCCACTTGTGCCATTAGTGATTCATTTGGTAAAAGTAGAGTTCATATGTTTCTTAGCCTCTGTGCGAAATGGGAAGTTCTGGTCAGCACTATGCCCAGCCGCCTTTACTTTCCTTAACTCACGTTATTTAAGTACCTATAACAGCTGGGTTGACTCATGGACGTTCTATTGACTTGGACACGGATTCAAACTCGAGACTTTCGCGTTAGAAGCAGAACGCTCTACCGCTTTAGCCACCAACCACCTTCCCATCATCATGTATCGTATAATTTTTGTTATATTAACACTCCAATTAAGTTTCGATGCATTATTATTATATTGTATTTGTCATAGCATACAATATAGCCTATATTTAACCATACATCGAATATTTAATTCGTCGTGTCATAATGTACGTTATTTATTTGAGTGTTATTCTTGTCTCATTATTTGCGACACACCATGAATGCCTGTGGTGAATAGAACAATGTGAATCATTACACTGAATCACTTAAACAGAAAGTTTCAGATATGAGCCAATAGGGCTGTCTCAGTTAAACGTCATTTCCGTTTCGAGACCAGAGTATGCTAAGTGTGCTGAGTATGTGTAAGATATTACTATACACAGCTATTAAAGACAGCTTGTCTAATATTATTTCGAAAATACTTTGACACTTTCACAGGCATGTTGTTGTGACAAATGGTCAGTTAAGTAAAAGTAATGACACATGAGGAATGCATGCATGAGATGACACAAATTAGGTCAAACAGAGGACGAAAATGTACAATAGCCAGAGGTCAAGCAGACAGGTGAAGTAGAATAGATTGAATAGGTAGAAACCAATGAGTCATGAGATGCGAACTAATTGGTCATCTGAGATGGTCAGCTGACCACTGAAGCGTCAGATAGCAGTTGGTCACTTGAGCTTGTAGCGGACAGTCGCTTTATAGAAAGCAGTTATAGATAGTTAATGTTAGGAAATAGTTAAGTTGGACTTGGAGATTGGTTAGTTTATAGTCAATATTGTAGAACCAGGGTGTAGGACAGTAGAGTTAGGACTATGAGTTTCTATGTGTAAATAATGAAACTGTAATGTATATGTGAATTAAACTAGTGTTAGTTACTATGGTTTCTACTAGAACTTCGTTAAGGCTAATCAGAAGGGTCGATCAGCTAACCACAGTACATAAGTACATAGTACACTGTTCGATATATATATATATATATATATATATATATATATATATATATATATATATATATATATATATATATATATATATATATATATATATATATATATAGATATACATATATATATATATATATATATATATATATATATATATATATATATATATATATATATATATATATATATATATCATCCTACCTCATCACAACGGGGTAGGTACAGCACAAAACTTAAAATATGTAAAAAAAAAAAAAAAAAAAAAAAAATTTCATTTCTGTCACTAAGCTGGTGAGACACTATAGAAACAGCTCTCTAGTTAAGCTCATGGCTTATTTGTCAAACATGATAAAGTACTTGATTACAAGTGTTTGTTGTTTGTAAAAAGCTCTTCATTTCAAAATATGATCAAGTGTCAATACTTCTGATTAACAAGTTTAATTTAATATTTAGAGGTGGTTGATAGATTTTAATTTAGATAGATTTTTTAAAACATGTTTATTCTCTTCACAGGTCTTCAAGATTATAATATGTAATTATTTTAATCTATGTGTATAAATAATTCTAATAAAAAGTTTTAAAAACGTTAAAAATTAGCAGCATTTTATATATCTCTAAATGTTAGTGTGACGATTGCTACAATTTGCCTAAAAAGTATTGATTTGAAAACGTATTTGAAATAATCTTGTGTGATGTTGTAGTTATCTTAGGCTCATTATCCGTGTAGGTTAACATTTTAATATGTGTACTATTGTAGTATTTCAATCGGCTGCTATTGATAAAGTTTACGAGTATTTGCACCAAATTATTTGACTCAACACTGTGTAGTAATTGCAAGGTCTAATATAGGGTGTTTTGTATGTTATGAAATCAATCTAGTTCTTAATAGATCTACATGGAAATATAATGAATCAAAAATTCATCAAAATAATATATTTGAAAATAAACATTAAATTTAAAACGGAAAAATATTAGTTAAAAATATTCAATTAAAATAAATATTTAGATGAAGTTTATTCACAGTTGTGTAATTAATTTGCGCTCATTTTTTTAAAACTCCCTTGTTTCAAAAATAATAGCATTGCTTAAAATGAATGCATCTAAATTTAGCAAGCCTAATTGTACCAGTATGCCTGAAGTGGTGGCAACTAACAATTAGCAGTTCAGATCGAAATCTGTTAAACAGGAATACATAAAAATAATATTACGATGGAGAGTCTCTTGACTGATTGTGGTATTAATAAAATTAACATGATTAGAGTTTATGGTATATAAAGGAGTAAAACATACATTTTGAACAATTGTTAAGTTGTTTCTTTTCACATAGTTTTACAAATCAAAACTCAAAATGTTCAATTTAAATAGTTTTTTTTTTAAATATAAATTAATAACTAAAAAAGTTGTTATACTTTTTAATGAATAAAGAATCAATAAATGTATACGTTAGTTTTCAAAATAACCATTGTTTAAAAGTTATTACTATACACTTATATATTTAAATATTTTAACCAATGTTCATTGAAATCCTATTAAGAACCGCAACATGCCTGGTATATTTGTTCGTAATTGTTAGCGTTGGAAGAGATCGAGCCTAATCTGTCAGAATTTATCAACCATGAGCTTTTACTGAATTAAATACGTGTCTACTGGGGCCATTAACTCCTATTTTAGCTGTCTTTTCTTTTTGGATTTGCTTTCAACCAAGAACAAACTACAAGGCAACAGTTGTTTGATTTTGGAGTTGTCTCTCCTAGAAGAGTGGCTAACGAGCCTCATCTAAAGGAACCATGAGCTTTACCGACTCGACCACGCCGATCCCTTATTAGTGTGTCTGCGTGGTAGAGTCGGTAAAGCTCATGGTTGCTAAACCGAAAAGTCTCGAGTTCGAACCCTCGCGCAGATGAGGCTCGTTAGCTGAGGACAGCCACTCTTCTAGGAGAGACAACTCCAAAATCAAACAACTGCTTCCTTGTAGTTTGTTCTTGGTTGGACAAAGGCTATGGAAGCAAATCCAAAAAGAAAAGCAGGGTGAAATCAGAGTCAATGGCCATAATAGTGCATAACCAGTTGACACGAAATCTTTAATTGTGATGGAAGCATGGTCGAGTCGGCAAAAGCTGATGGTTGATAAATTCGAAATAAGTCTCGAGTTCAAACCCTCTGGCAGATAAGGCTCGATCCCTCCCAACACTAAAAATTAAGAAAGAAGAAGAAGAAGAAGTGTGCTAAAATTAGACTATTTTCGTTTAGCTTCATAGCTAGCAATGTCGTCATACGGCTCAGTAAAATTAGTCATCGTCTGCCCAAGATGGGAGTAAACGTTAGGTGTGTCTGACATGTGTCAGTCTTAGGTGTGTCTGTCTTACATGTGTCAGTCTTAGATGTGTCTGTCTTACATGTGTCAGTCTTAGGTGTTTCTGTCTTACATGTGTCAGTCTTAGGTGAGTCTGTCTTACATGTGTAAGTCTTAGGTGAGTCTGTCTTACATGCGTCCACATGTGTGTCCAACACAGTCTTATGATTTATGTCTTTACAACATATATCAGCGTCAGTCTCATCTTTCGGCATGCTATAGTAATGAGCATGATAATTATCAGTGTTTATTCCTTTAGTAATGTCGTTTTTCAGAGAAATTTTAGATACAAAGGCAGAGTGCTTGTGAGTATCATTACTTTTGTTGTCTAGGTTACTACTTGTATATCCATTACACGGGGTAATTGCGTATGGATTTACGGAGTTAGCTCCCATGTTGGATTCTGTTTTCTTCTTTCGTTTCTTGTGTTGTATACTAGCATCGAGTTCTATTTCAAAGTAATGATGATGTTCTGTTTCCGCCGTTGTAGACTTGTTTCCTCTATTTGCTCTTCTCCTCCATAGGAAACAGCAGATAATAACGGCAACACACACGATTATCGCACCAACGATTATGCCAACGGTGCTGTGAGAATCCGAAATGGGAACTGTGGTAGTTGTTTGTGGTGTTGTTAAAGTTCTCAGTGATACATTTAACGTTTCGCATGAGGTGATGTTGAAATATTTTCTATCCAAGTTAAAGCGTAATTGCGATTCATTAATATTTAAGCTAAGGATTGGTGTTGGACAGTCGTCGATTAAAGAACTATTTAATATTGTGATGTTTCTCACACAGGTTAAGGTTGGAGTTTGGAGATTTTTACAAATGAGTGTATCCCCTTCTTTGGAACATGTCCTGAATGTTTCAATTGGATTGTTTCCATCTTTGCCTACAGTTTTAATACGATAACTGCTACCAGAACTGTTGTTAAATATATCCGCGGTACATCTGCTTACTTTGTCACAGCGCAAACATTTTAGAAATCTGAAATTATATAAGAAAATTTTTAAAACTATTGTTTATACTGGAAAAAGTAAAAATATTCACATAAAACTAAAACCGTATAATTTGAAATAAACAGACTCAGTGGCGTAGCGAGGTCGGATGTGACCCGGTGTGGCACTTAATTGTGTCACCCCCCAGAGGCATAGCGACCCTTCCCGGGGACAAACTTCTAAATTTTCGATTTGCACCCCACCCCTCAAACTTTTGATTTGCACCCCCCCTCAAACTTTCGATTTGCACCCCCCTCAAGTTTTTCTCTATATATTTAGCTATGTTTTGCCTTGGTGTCATCCCCCTAAATGGTGTCACCCGGTGCGGTCCACACCCCCCCCCCCCACTCGCTACGCCCCTGAACAGATTATTTTTTTTTAATTTAGATGTATTATGAATGCATATAATAGTAACGTTATAAAATGTATGTTAAGTTATTGCATTATGTATTCATTTACACCCTAATACACATATACACTAGGACGAAGATCGGTGTAAGTATATCTGTCAATGTATCTTCATAAGTAGATACTATAATTTTTTTTTTTTTTAAATGTTATGGTTAATAAAGACCTACGATTTTAGATTTTCGCCTTCAATGGTGATATTCCTGGAACCGACGATAACAGTAAAGATGGAATGGCTAAATGAAGAAGATTGAACAATATCCAACACCAAAAACAAACTCAGTACGAACATCGATAATTTATCCCCATAGCCCGTTCATACACCTGGGAGATAAAAAAAACCAACACAACCATATCAGTAAAAACAGTTTTAATCAGAATATATATCTTGAATTTAGCATCCAGTTATAATTGAAAACAAAAAAAATAATTTAATCACTCCCTTTGTCTCTATCACTCCCAATCTACATACACACCGGTATATTACATGCATTGTTTTCAAATATTTGAAACAAATACGAATGTACATATATATATATATATATATATATATATATATATATATATATATATATATATATATATATATATATATATATATATATATTCAAAAATATATAAGAAACATACCAACATTATACATGCAATAAATTGGAAATATGAACTCATAAACCATTGTGGTGTATCGTAGTATGTAGAATTTTAAAGTAACACAGGAAGTAGATATGTAATTGTTTTCTATTAATAGAACTCCATGCTAAAATCCTAAAACGACATACTTATATCTACTGTAATCAGCAAAAGTGAAAGTTGAGGCTTGTCAATGGCCGGGCTTTATAGTCAAGTGGCTCTTGTTTACCACGTGTTCGTTTTGTTACACTGTATGTTTTTTAATACGTTGACGGTGTGTCGCGTTATTTTGATAGTTTCAAAATGGTCTGTTTCATAAAAATAACAATATTACTTCCTTTAATTAAATTAATTTGGAGTAAGCACACATACACATATTTGTATATTCCATGAGGTTTTCATATGTACGTACGTGTGTATTATTAACATTTGCAAGAGAATAAAATGTATACTTGTCAGCGATTTGTGATGAAAAAGAATGAACACACTTACATTCGTCTTTAATCATTTTTTTTCTTCTTTAGTAAATCGGGAGCGGTTTGCTAAAAAAAACATTTTATTTTCTTATGTTTTTTTTATGCGTTAATAACCTTCTTTATTAATGAAAAGTTAAACACGGTTTTAATTTTTATTTTTTTTATTTATCTTGGCATAGACAAATATAATACACGAGCCGACCCGCGGCGTATCATACGCCGCTATTTAGTTGTTTTATTTTCTACTTTTCAGTAATTCATAATTTGTGAATTCGACAGTACCAATGCTGCCACTGAAAATATTTGCTTTAAAACACTAACCCCTCCCCCTTTCACCTAACCCCGACCCTACCCCCCCCCCCCTCCCCCGTGAAAGCAGCCTCCTCTTAGTTACCTCCTGGAAGTTTAAAATCGTTTCAAACTAAATTATCTGCCGCTAATAGCCGTCACCAAACCCGGCTCTACGATTTGTAAACATTTAGCGTGACCACAGCTCACCAGAACATGTGGGGTTGGGGTGGGGGTGGTAGTGATAGTGATAGAGAAAAAGAGAGAGGGGACTGCAAGGATGCGCTTGCAGCTTGTTTTCTAGCGTCTCCCAGAAGAGAATTATATATATATAGATTATTTTCAAATATTTTTCATCTTCCTTAATTGCAATGTTGGAAGGGATTTTCTTCAACACTAATGACTTCGATTTCAACCTAGTTATCTTTGTGATCACTTTTTAATATGCTCACATTTTTTTTTATTCCAGCAAATCTTATATATTTTATTTAACACGATTCCCATTGTCCAATTGAGCTGAAATTTGACACAAGGGTAGATCTTGGATGGAAATGCAAGATAATTTAATTTTTTATTTCAATAAATAGTCTAGTTAATTTAAAAAATAATAATAAAAAAAAAGATAAATAAAATACTAGCAGACGCCATTATCAAGGGCCTTTAAACGCAACCTGTTATAACAGTTGGCTGATGTAGTGTCCTATCGTCAACAACGAACAAAATATGGACAGCTAACTGAATTTTATAGATCACAAGCTACTTGATAGATTTTAAAACGAATATTTTTAATCGTGATCTATGTATTGTCAACTTCATTTGGAATGAAGGACTAAAAATGTTGGAAATATTAATCACATAAAAAATGTTGTTAATGAAAATTACTTTAGTTTTATTCACAATTTAAAAGAACAAAAAGCGTTTAAAAATCCTTGACTTAATTTCGACTTAGTCTTCTCTTCTCAATAATGAACATAGGGCCTCTACCACTTCCTTCCATTTCATCCAATACCCGGCTATTAATTTTGCCGTCTCCCAAGACATTCCTGTTGGCTGCACTTCTTTGAGAAGACTCCCTCTCCAGGTCTATATAGTGCCCCTTCTCTTTCGCTTTCCCTGGGTGTTCCACTCAAGCGCTTGGCGTGTCAGATGTGGCATGTGTCCCACCCAGCTCCACTTCCTCCTTATTTGCAGTCATAGGCTCCTGCCTTGCTTTTTTGTCCTGCCATCTCCATTTGCAAATCAGTCTAAGGCATCTGTTCATGAAGGTCTGTATCTTTCCTGTGCTAGCTTTGGAGACTCCATGCCTCTGCCCCATATTGCAAAATTGCCTTGACATTTGAGTTAAGCATTTTAATCATGTTTTGGTTGGAGATGGCAGAATTGTTTAAAAAACTACTGAAAGTAAAGTATAAACTTTGTTAAGTTTAACATTTCCAAAGCTATTTACTGTTATGTCAAACAAATACAAAAATTTAACGTACACTTGAAGAGACTGTATTCTCTTTCATAAGGAGTTCATTGAAAGTATTCGTTCATTATTGTGCGCCCATGATTTTATTTTTAGTCAAACAGTTTTTATCTTTTGTAGGTTTTCATTAAATTAAGTTGATTGTTTTTTACTGTTTACTATATATTTTCTATTATGATTTTTTTATTCGTGAAATAATTTAAGTCTTTTTTCATTGTGATAATTATTACATGTTATTCCAAATAGTTTTGTGTTTTATATTTTAATGGGAGAATATCTAAATATTAAAACACTCTTTATATTCATGGTAGCCTCCCCTGAAAAGGTTCATGATATATCTTTAAACTGGAATGAAGCCTTTCAAAATGTATGCGATGTATGTGTTTGCGCGTTCTCGTATGGTTGTATTTACGAATGTGTGTATGAGTCAGTTAAAAATAATAATGTATACTATAGTTCCTGATATTTTCAACTATCACTAAGGAGGTTATAATTAAAACCATTAGACGTTGCACAACCACCGTACTGTAAAAAAAAGTAAATTATAAGGTAGATAAACATTGTATTTATCTAAACGTTGTCTCCCTTTAAAAACTAAGTCGATTCATAATTGGTTGATAATTGTCTCTTGCATACCTAAACATTTTATATTTATTCAACAATCATATACTCTCTACTTACTCAGATGGTTTAATTATCTAATAACTCTGAAATTAAAAAAAAAATAGGTATAGCTTAATCATAATCGCTTTAGCTAATGGACTTTAAAAATTAATACTAAGAGTGAGTTAGTAGTAATTATAAACTATTATATACCATAATAATATAATAATTATTCCTAAATATAATTCAAAAGCAGACAACTTTATTATAAAGTCATTTGAAGATTATACTGCTTTAAATATTTTTACTTATTTAAAAATTATTTTATAGACAAAAGTAATTCCTCCAATATAGGAAAACTTTTTTTCTTCGGCAATTACTCATGGTATTTGTAAATTTGTACTATGTTGTAGTCAGTTCTTAACACTGTACTACTATATTCAAAATGTCAGATACAAATAAGACTTATTTGGAGACCACTTATGAGCCAGTATTCATTGTCTCCTATGAAGTTAGAAACTATGTCGATCTGTTCCTAAGCGATATCGTAATACCAGTTCTCTGTGTTGTTGGCATAGCGGGAAACAGTCTAACCATCTTTATCCTTGTCTACAACGGCTTCAAAGATACAACGAATATCATTTTAACAGCCTTAGCTGCTTCAGATCTATTTTTCTCCTTAACACAGCTATTTTACCAACTCAAAAGTATAACACGCAACCTCGACATAACTGTAAGTCTCTACGTGTACGCATATTACATGGTGTACTTATACGGCTGGAACCAGTATGCCGTGTGTATAAGTGTACAAATGGCGGCAGTGATAGCTACAGAAAGAATGATCGCTGTGGTTTTCCCGTTCGTCGCCTCGAGAATTCTCACTCCATTTCGTATCAAGTTCATAGTTGTTGCTGTTTACATATTCTCAACGATGATGTACGTACCAAGAGTGTTTATGTTTGAAGTAGCTTGGGTGTATTTTGATGTTACTAATACCACAGTCCCGGTTCTTGATTTTGGTGTCTTTTTAAAGTACCATCTTGATGTGTACCAAATGTATAACACTGGTGTTATTGGGACATTTGCAATATACATCCCAACTACTCTTATATTCATTTGCACAATTTCGATAATAGTTAAACTTCGAGCGTCTAACATAAAAATAAAGACAATTTCGTCGACGGGTGCACAGAATAGAAGAACGCAGGATTTTAAAAATATTAAAATAACACTAACAATGTGCGTGTGTGTGATTTGTTTAGTTTTAATACCCACAAACATCTATAACTTTGTTTCTCTTACCGAATATGGTAATTTGTTTAATTACAACGCCATGTATGTTATAGAAACGTTTATTAGATTGATTTACCAGCTTAACGCTTCAATTAATTTTGTTCTTTATGTCACTTTAAGCCCGAAATTTACAAACACATACAGAAAACTAGTTATTTGTTTCATTCGTACTCCACCCTTTTCAGCAATAAAGTAGGACACGAATGTTCCACGTTTTTTTAAAGTTTAAGAGCAGTATACTGATCTGTACCAATTATGGTTGGTTCTTTAGCGTACATACATAGCCGTATATGTCTTTTTCGGTTGATGTATAATTGCTTATCATAAACTACTTATTATAAAGGTGCAGAGAGATTATATATATATATATATATATATATATATATATATATATATATATATATATATATATATATATACATATATATATATATATATATGTATATATATATATGTGTATATATATATATATGTGTGTATATATATATATATATATATATATAGTATTGTTTTATGTTCTATGTAACGCGGATC